AGATAAAGGCGGGTTGTTCACCGGACATCTATATGTGGATTCCAGAGCATTCCGAAGAATCTCCTTCACCTAATTCCGCCCAAAGGTCGACGTGCCGTAGGACCGATTGGTGGGTTATCGGGCGAAGCCCGGCAACCAGGAGCTTTGCATCGCCTACTCACTACCCCACCTTGTAGCTATCGACATGAGTGTCGCCACCAAAACTCCTTCTATATTCAACATTAAAACCTGACACCAATTCAGATTCACCTTCAGAAAAATCAAAAGGAGTACGATTAGTCTCAGCTAAACAATAAGAAAATCAACAAAAAATTAAGGAATATTAACAAAAAACCAAACATATAACTGATAAACATAAAATAAATTAATTCCAAAACCACCTACCAAAATAATAAATCTTAAGAGTCCGGGTGGTCGTCTACATCTCTCCAGCAGAGATAGTTACCACGACATCCCCGCACTGCGTCGTACAGAAAAAACACCTAAATATCGAATTAACGTCTTCAAAATCTTCATCACAGACAGAATGTTTATGACCTCTGTATGTAAACACACGGTTGGATAACCGTTGCAAAATAATAACTAATATCAGAACTTGGACTATCAGAAGGATATCCCTAATCTCCAACTCTACTTAATAATTTCATTGCGAAAGTAACATCATTACGCACGAACATAGCACAATTCACAGATGGCACTGCAAGGTTTTCATCAGATCACATCAGAACAAATAAAAAATCAGTTCCCCTTAAATAAAAGAAATAAAATGTACAATTTCAGTTGAATTACGGGTACGAATTAGATTTATTTGTAAGTAAAATTTGGTGTAAATTAAACAATTAAAACAAGTACTTTGTCATTGACATTATTATCGTGATAGCGAGACCTTCATTTCAGGCCAGTGCAGGTTGAGAAACGATGTGAAACCGCTGGGAGTCAAAAGTAATCGATAGTCTACAGGAAATGAGTTCCCAGGTTTATGAATTCATAATCCGTGACCTCGCCACGTACGACCAAGATTGTTTTCGGTTGCTCATAGATTCGGTTGCAAATACCATAACTATTGGAAACTTGATTACGGCTTTTTTATTCTTTTGAATAAATGATTCACGTTAACTTTTCCTTCAGACGCCTATTTTTATTATAAAACGTAGACGTGTATTCTACGCAGTTACATGTGTTCGATCAAAATAGTGCGTTCTATGTTGTTAAAGTTGTAAGAGATGTTCGTTCCAAGTATACGTAATATGAAGTAGTACGCGCACAGTTTCAATGTAAAGGTTTATTATCTCTGATTTAATTATTTTGTATGCATTTCTTTGCCTATTATTGAAAATTAATTGCTTAAACTCAAAGCAACGTTTTCGAAAAATTTGTTATTTCTAAATTATTTTCTGGCGTATAGAATAATATCATAGGATTATTTTTCTAACGCAATCAGATCATTTCACATACGTATATAAATATGTTTTACAAAATTTTAATATTATTGTATGCAAACTGAAAACGTTGATAGAGTTTCATTAACAAAATATCTCAGCGAAATTAACGCAATTCTTAACATTCAATTCGGATTCAAAGAAAACATTCATCAACCCATCAACGACTTACGAAGTATATAGCGAATTCCTTCCAAAAATGCACTCGCGGTTATCTAGACGTCTCACAGGCCTTCGGCCGAGTTTGACAAGCAGGCTTACTCTACGAGCTAAAGATTTTGGCACACCCTCATTTGTCTGTAAAATAATTCAAAGCTTTATCCTACGTCGAACATTTACAGTATGGATAAATAACACAGCTTCCAACATTAAAAATATATCTGTAGGAGTACCGCGAGGATCATCGTTCTCCCCCTGTTATATAACATATACACAGCAGATTTCTCCCGCCAATAAAATTGCAAATGACCACCTTTGCTGACGACACCACCTTTTTCACCTCCTCCAGTAACTGCGAATGAGATGCAAAACTACTAGAAGAAGGTATTAAAAATATTGTAATCTGGACGCATAAATGGAGAATACCTCAAAACGCATCTAAAAAAGTTATCAAAGCCTTTACACAAAAGGAATATATCTATTTTACCACCACCTGAATATTCTAGATATTCCCCGGACAGACAAAATTAAATCGATCAAATATCTTGGCTTACGTTTTGACACATAATTAACCTGGAAAGAACGTATAATGGAAATTGGCAAACTTTATTCGCACATCAATAAAAAGTCTCATTTGAAAAAACGAAACTGTCATGTCAATAAAAAATCAATTTTAAGACCCTCAATGTCATATGCATGATCAATTTAGAGGAGCCTCCAAACCATCATTTAAAAAGATACAAACAATCCAGAACAAATTCCTTAGACTGGCAATCAAAGCTCCTTGGTACATTTCAAACCAGCTCGTACATCATGAATTAAAAATGCCCCTTCTATCAGAATTCATACCTAATTTCTCAAAAAAAATTAAGTAACCTAAACCAATGCCCAAGCCCAAACATATTCAATCTTAATAGACATGGCCCAACAAATCCTAGAATTAAATCAACATTTCCCAAAGACATATTCCTCCCCCTAATAAAAGACTTGATACAAATCAGTCATCACGAGTAAACCCACACCTCCCATCCTCAAAACGAATCCCCTATATATATTATATATATATTATATATATATATATTATATATATATATTATATATATATTATATATATATTATATATATATTATATATATATTATATATATATATATATATGTTTGTTAATTTCAAACTAACAACAATTACAAACTTATCTTAAAAATACACAAAATGTGAATTGAGGCTTCCTGTTATAACTTACTGTTACTGGTTGTCTTGAATATATATTAGGACGCTGGGAAGGGGTACAGTAGCTTTGGGCAGCGCGACTTTGGGCTGGGCAGTCAAGGTCTGCATAGACCAGATTCCTGAACCTCTCCTCTCTCCCTTTCCAGAAAACAGCGAGTCCAAGCCAACCGTAAAGGGTACCCGAATGCCTGTCAGACTTGTACGCCAGTAGCATTCCCATATAAAGCAGTTCTACCCGTACTAAACGGGTCGAACGATTTTAACGGGAACCCGTATGGAGATGTTTTTGCGGCTGTGGCAAGCTGGCACAGCCAGAGCGCAGTCACTTCAAACCAAATGGAATAATTAGTACTCGTTTATTGCTCATTTATTACCCAAAAATTAAATATATTTCTTTTACCGTTTATGAAATAACTATTCTTAAAACGGCATA